GCCACGGCAGAGAACTTTTGGCATGTCGACGGGCCAGTTTTTGCATGTTGACGGATTACCGTTTTTGGCACGTCCACGGTAAGCGTCTCATCCTTTTTTAGCATGTCCACGGTAGGCGTCTCAAACACTTCTTGGCATGTTGACAGGACTTTTAGTATGTTGACGGGTGGCGTCCCCGGCAGCAAATGCAGTAGCAAGTAGCAAAAGAAACAGCAGGGCATGCAACGACGTTACGACTTGAAACTACATAATCAAACGGTTGCTGCACTGGTTCCCAAATAACAACAGCGTGTGCGCAAAAAGCTGGAGCTAATATCTAGTTTCATCGAAACCTGTGCCGAACGTTCTGGACAATGAATGCCGAAATTGGCATGACAACCTGCAGCTGAAATTGTTGTAGCGCCGGAATCCTGTGAATGCAGCATCGTCACCCTGAGAGCCCACGAAGAGGGAGGGCGTCCTCTGCTGGCTGATGTCAAGTAACCGGACTCTGGACTTGGGGAGGATTCAGGCTGTGGAGCGGCGGGCTTTGGCAAACGGATGCCACAAGGTCAGGAGAAGGTAATGGTGCTACTTCCACTCAGGACAGGTAACGAAAGGAGCAACCCAAGTAAATAGGAACGTCAAGTGCTTGTTGGTCTCCTTCGCCGACACTACATCATGCCGTTTCGGATGTTCCTTAGGCTGTACACACGTGCTTTTCTACAGGCTTTGCTTGGAATCGTGATTGAAAGCGCTTGCCCGAAACAAAACGCGTTATGGCTACGACTAAATTCCGTGACACCTGTAGGGACACTACATTATCCGCGAAGCACTACTGGGTGCTTCAACACAAGCTGACAAGCCTCCTAAAAGGCCTCTTCAGAAGACTAAATGGAAAGCACTACCCACTACCTCGACTCGGCATTCTAGCAGCGCCCAAACGCAGTGTCCCTGCAATATTGCCGGCACTCCTGACGAAGTACTTTTCAGATTCCCATAACTCCGGCACACGGATCCCGCACATCCTGTAAAACTTCCCTTCTCTCGAGGTCCTGAGGGCTGTCGTTGTACCGTCCTTGAGGAGAAGCTCCAGTCGCTGAACAGAGCCCACGAACTTGGGCCAAAGCCGGCAAACATCGCCCCATTTTCCATGGACCTGAGATGTTGGCACTTGCTGCTGGGACTTTCCTCGATCGACAAACATTTCAGGCAATACAGCTGCAATTATGTGCCCTGTTGCTGAGGTTCGACTTAGTGCAACATGAAAACCACAGCCCCTTGTCACGTTGCCCGGAGCTAGATCCATTTAGGAGCATTAACCCTAAAAGGTAGACTATGACTGCCGGTAATCATGCTTGTAGGTCCCAATATACAGTAGCAAGAATTCTTCACACTTCGTCATGCTGCTAGTCAACTCAGGCAAGCGGGCGATCACGAGACTCGAAGCACTTCGTCTGCCGGTTGCCAGCCGGTTGTAGAACAGAATCTGCTAGCGACTCCGAGTTAGTGAGGAACGGTTTTGCGTACTGGTGTTTTGAGCTACGCGACATCGTACAAACCCTTCCTGATGCTCCCCTTGACAAATGTGGAACATCTCCTTCTGTGAGTCACTTTGAGCCTCCCATTGTTTTGGAGAATTTTATGCTGTTGTCGTGCCCGGATGACAGGCCCGCCGTCGCTACCCGGAATCAGCACTCCTGCTGTTTGGAAACGCTTGAGGCTCTGTCTGCTATGTCCTATGCTTTCGGAAAGCCGCAGCTGGAGCATGCTTCTTTCTGACTTCAGGCTGCCGGATGCTTTCGCGAGATGCAACATGCCGTGGGCATGTTCAACAGTCGCCCATGCACAAGCATCATGTTTCAAGGATTTTGACTCCACCTCTGCAAAGGGTCAGTTACAAAACGGCATTCGGGTAGGTTCAGCAAGAGTCTATGCTTGGGAAGAACGAACAGAGAACGCGCAAGATGCAGAGAGTGTTTGCTACACAAGACCAGTTGGCAAGGGGAGCGATCTCGTCGAGCAAGCCATTCGCGAAGTCGATGACGGCCTCTCCTGACACTGCAAGTGTTTGGTTGTAGCCGACTGTCCAGTCCTATTGGGTGTTCAGGATAATGTGCCTTTGAGGCTCCTCTCATGGGGTTATAGCCGGACGAGCCCTTGGCGGCATTGATCTCCACACCGCTGCTCGTGACAGAATAGGCGGGGATCACGTCGAAGCCGTAGAGGGCATCATAGAGGGACCCCCAGCGAGCATTCACGGCATTCAGGACATAACGCGCGTTGTCGGAGGGCACCACTAACTGAGGTGCTGGCACCTTCGCAATCTCCTCGTCCACAAACTGTGTGGTTACGCTGACCTTGCCGCAGTTTCCAACGCAAATTTAGATGCAGAGAGAGGGCCTCCTGTAGGGCTCGACAGTTGCATGGAGGGCATTGTGGAAGATGTTTGAAGGGAAACCGACATCTTTCAGAACTTTCTCGGATTCTGGCGATTTAGGCAGGCCAGGTGGCCGGTCCCTTATCGGGGACGAGATAGCCGATATCCCGCAAGAAGTCCTTGGTATAGACTTGCCCGGCCCGGCTCTCCGAATCACCAGGGGGTGTTTGGCTGCTACAAGCATCTGGTTCATCCGCTTCCGGTGCTGGCGGCACAAAGGAGGCTGGTGGAGGACTTCTTAACTACGGATTGCAAGTCTCAATTTTCTGAACAAGTCCGCAACGTGCGGGCTCGCAATCCTCAAATCTCCCACTGGGGAAAGTGGGGTATGTTGAAGCACCTCAGAAAATTAAATAAAGCTTTAAAACCCATCCGGCCGGGGTCGAATTGAGGCGAAGCTCTCCATGAAGCCCCGACTCGGGCCGGCCGACAATACCACAGGACCATAGGCTAAACATGCCAGGAGCGATCGTTAAGCCCGGTACCCGACAAGTTCAGGTGGGAGTTTTACTGCCCAAGCATAGCACCTCTCGACACCGAAGGGACCCCGACGGTGGTCTACAAGGACACCCAATTCACCAAAACTCAGGCCGTAGTCTTCACTGAAATATCGAAACATCGTGAGCAAAATAAACGAATCTTGCTGCGCTGTCCGTTGTTGAGGTTACCCGAAAACTTCATAACAATCATGTAAGCTGTAAGCTCACGACACAATGTATAGATTCATAGATGCGTTCGGTCTTCGCTGCAAACATTACGGACTTTAAGGTCCTTCAGAGGAAGGGTGCGACGTGCGAAGTCGGGGATGCGCTCCGGATCACGCTGCAAGAGATCTCGGGCCACCACCGGAAACCTGATTTTGGGCATACGCAAAGCCTGAATGTACACGGCGATTCAAGCCTCAAATGCCTGCAAGAACCCCCCCCCCCCCCCCCCCGCCCCGCATGCCTATGATCTTGACGTGCAGGTGACGAGATCGAATGCTGCCAAACATCAGCGTGCGCATCTTCCGACTCCGTACGCGTCTTTTGTGTTCCCCCCACTTCCCGATGAGAACTTGGTTTGCTGACTGTGGTGCTAAAGTCAGACAGAACCCTGGGCTGTGGGGAAGTGCTTCAGCTCAGGCTCAAACAGACAATGAAGTTGTTCTGACCCCTCGTATCGCTTTTACCGGCCTCATGTCACCATGCAGAAAAGGGGGGATTGCTGCAGGTTCTATTCTTAGTCGGGACCGCACGCATGTGTATCCAAATATCCTTTACACTTGTGTGCTCACTGTCTTCGAAACCTGGGCATCCTCCTTGGGCATCCGGCCGAGTATCGCGGCAGGATGGCCGATAGTCTGGCTTGGACAA